ACTTAAATTCAGGAGAACCAAGTAACAAATCATATATCAAACTGTAATTTGTTACTCTCCTGCCATCTACTGGCTGTGCTTTGTTTGATTTTTTAACATTGTTTTAACATAACACATAAAGACACCTGAGCTGCCACAAAACCTTGGTTCTTTGGGTTCCCTTGACCACTCAGTGACCTCCAAACATTCCCAAAATGCAAACACCATATGTCCAGTTCCCAAAACAGAAATGATATACCATTGCCAGGAGCACTGGTGTGACCCATGAAGTGATGTGGGAGGGAAAATGGCCCATCTTTGTTTTATATCAAGGGTGAGTTTGCCATTTTCCCAAGGAGACCTTGGAGAGTGATGCCTTTTTTTTTGCCCCCAAATGCCCTTTAAGGGATATACAGTTACCTTGTTTTGGGCCTTGCAGGGTCCCTAGAGTGCCTTTTGAAACAAAAAATCTTTTTAAAAATATTTACAAAAGTGTATTTTGACTCCAGGGAAGTGGAAGGGAGCCTCCAAATGTAGCAGAAATTCCCTCTGAACACCCTAGTGGTAATTTTGTTGCATTTTGTAGTTGAATCTGCTTTTGGATCTGTTGTAATGTGAAAGAATTTCTTGCTGTATACAGATTGCAAGACATGCCAGAAGCTGTATATAAACAATATTAAGAAGAATAGTATATTGAGCAACTGTATCTAAACCTTCATGATATGGGCACATAAAGACCTGTTTGTTTTTATGGGAGTGATTTAAGCACAGCTTAGTCCACTGAATGCATCTCCAGTGACATTCATTGAGGACTACCATGTCAGGTGAATCTTGATGACTCCCATGAAGATTGAATTGAAAATTACTGTTCTGGTTTGGTTTGGGCTGCAAGAACCTTAGGTCTGCTGCATCACATGTGATGGAATAATTTGTGTATGCAGTTATTAATCTCTATTTCTCAATTTCCTTTCCCCTTTCTCACAAATTGTTCCTGCAGTGAAACTGGAGAGATTTGAAATACCAGTCAAGGTGAGGTTAAGCCCAGAGCCCTGGACTCCAGAGACAGGCCTAGTGACAGATGCTTTCAAATTGAAAAGGAAAGAGCTGAAGAACCATTACCTCAACGACATTGAGCGAATGTATGGAGGTAAATAACCTCCAAACCAAGTCAAGAAGCTGTGTGGGATTCCTTCTGAGACTGAATGAGAAACATTATTCCTTCAAACGTGGCTGTAATTACTAATGGGGAGGTGGCACTTTGTGAAACTGGTGACAGATAACACCCCATTTTAAAGGAGGAACACCAACGCTGGCTTTCTGTACTACACTTTTCAAGATGCTGTCAAAATGACTGACCACTGCCATTGTTTCATTTGATCACTTCCAATACTGAATGGCTGTGGTCATATGAAACTCCCTCATTGGATAAACCATGGTTCTACCTTTATATTCTGGCTTCTCTTACTCATGAGGAATTAGATCATCTTGGAAGATTCCAATATGATGATTTTTAAAATGGAAGAAAAACAAAAATGTCTGTAATGTATCAACTGTATGTGGGTAGGTCAAGCTTGTACCTTTCAGAACGCTGTTCAGAAATGGGCAATCTCAGGTCCTTTGCTAGCTAGAATACCTTCTTTTAACTTGATTGTCATTAGGGACGCGAAGAAGAGAGAGAATCTCTTTTCTTGAAATGTTACTTCCACATAGCCAAAAACTGACAGGCACACGTTACCAACACACAACTGTTAAGGAATGGATTTTGCAACTTACACAGTTAACAGACATCCAGCTGTGTGACGATATTTATATCTACAATGGAAACATTAACAAGTTCTGATCGCTGTTTCTAGCTAACTGAATATACACAAGTTGTATTTTAAGCTGCTAAAGAGGGCATTCTGCCTGTGTGGAAATATTTAGAGAAAAGAGATCTCTGTGGTAATTTGAGAGTATTTAGAACCCACTTCCAGTTGGTTATTTTCTACTCTGTGCTGAAGAGTGGCAAGTGCAGCTTTAAAGCCAGTATTTCTCTCCAGTATTTCCTGCCATTCACTGAGTACAGGTCACAACTTTAATTGCCCACTGAGTTTAGTGAGGAAGGGACAAGAGAAGCGTATCACCTGCATTTCATTATTCCGAGTATTTATAGTGCCTAAAAGGGAGACAGGTACATTTACAAGGAGAACAAAGTCGAACTTAAACGATCCACATTCAGTGTATCCTTATCTGGTTAAGATTTGCATCCTGCACTTTTGAGACTGCCGTTAGGATTCTTTTCTTTTTCGTACCCCAAAAGATTTTTAAAACCTCTTTCAAAAGATTAGTGATTTTTGCCATCTCTGACACTACTGTGGCTTGTAATAATAATGCCAGTACAGTTTTCATATAATTTATTTAGACTAGCTTATTTCTTTTCAGATCAGTGGGACTGAACTAGTTTGATGCCTAAACTAGTTTGTGGATTGTCTCTGTTTGCACACACTTGTGCTTCTCAGGTGTGGTGTTTTAGTATCTCTGTGTCTCTTTCTCCAAGCGCGTCCACACTGGGAATTAAAGTCTTCAGTTTTGTTTTCAATCTTTAAAAGGGGCATTCCTATTTCTCTTTTTAATACATCACACAAAACAAGACACATGTGAAAACTGATTATTATTTATGAGTGAAGAACATGGTCTTTGAAAGTTTTTGTTTAATGAGCTTGTCGAAAGAGGGGGTCAATGCTGTATTTAAAGCCTTTGTCCTTTTTTTTGTTTGTTTGTTTGTGAAAATGTTTATTTTAAAAACTGGAAATCCTTGGTGTGCTGAGGAGAGAGAGTAGGACAGTGACACTCTCTTGTGGTTTGTGTTGTGTGCTGCAGTCAACAAGTGTCTTTATTTTATAAAGTTCACACTCTGGGCTTGTGTACCCCTTTTAGCTGTTCACACTTGAACTAGAAATACTGTAAGATGTGGCAATCCTTGATGCTGTTCTACTTTGCACTTTTTTCTTGATCCTTTTTTATATTTGTTGCTTCCATTTTTTTGTACAGATGTGGCCCTTGATTGCAATGTGTATACTTGGCTCTAAAGTATTTATGAAATAGATCTCTCTTATTCATAATACTTAAATGTGTATATTATGCTCAAGAGGAAAAAAAATCTGGTATTGTTTTTAAAGAATGAAGGGATTTTTGTATGAACTGTTGTTTCAGTACACCACGGTTTTAAATGCAAACTTGGTTAAGTTTTTCCTTCTGTGAAGTGTATGTGCGGGTCAGCCAGCTTTCAAAGCAGCAACGAATCACTAACAACAAATATTTTTAAAATTATGAACCATTGTGTATACCAGAACTGACTGTTCTTAAGGACCAATTTTAGTTTTTAAGCCCACAGGAGATACTTTATATAGCTTCCAACCATGCCTTTCCAACCAGACCTGTTCATGAAACAGCGGAGTCTAGAATTGGGACCAGAAAAATGCCTCACACATACACTTGTTTACATATATAGGAAATGTTTCCCTTATTGACTAGTGGGTTTTCATTCCTGTGTGAGCTCATCCTTGAGGTCTGTTACGTTTAATATGCGATCAACTTGCTCTCTCGCTTAGACACAGATGCGCTATTTCAACATTGTCTGGCACGATGAGAAATTGTGAAACGACAACACGCGTGTGGAGTAAATAGCTACTTGTGTGCTTCCAAAGCAGACAGCAGCTCATGAGGTTCGTTTCGAATGTATATTCTCTGGCCTACTTAGTCCCTTTATTGCTCTAATGTCAATGTGGGCTAGCCTCATTTTCAGTGTGCATGAAATATATTTTTAAAGACATCTCCAATGTGGAATACAGTTTAATTTATGGAGAAAGTCGGTGTTGAAGAGATTTTGTTCTTCTACAGCTTTAGAGTGTTGTCGTGATTTTAACATTTCAAGATTTTTCATTGAATCCCCTTGCAATCCATACCTTCATATAAAACACATCACTTTTTCTCCCATCAGAGATAATTGCCTGTGGTCCAAAACACACTGCAGAAACAATCCAGTTTGAGACTGCTTAAACTTCCCTGGCTCAATGCTGGCGAATTCTGGGAATTGTAGCTTTGTGAGACATTGAGTCTTCTCTGTCAGAGAGCTCTGGTGACACAATAAACTACAATTCTCAGGATTTCCTAGCACTTAGCCAGGGCCATTAAAGCGGTGGATTATTTCTGCAGTATGTTTTGGACATTCTCTCCCATGTAACTAAGAACAAATCTTTTAGGATGGGAAAGCCCTGTGTAACATTTCTGCTTTTCATAACTTAATCACGTTTCAGAACACATTTTTCCAGTGCCAGCCAATGGATTAGTCTTTCCTGCACATTCACCTTCACCTTGGTTTATTTTTGCCTTGGGAATGAAAATATTCTAAGGTTTCACTAAGGGATTGCAGAGAGATAAACAAGAATGTGAATTTTGCCTTTTGGAGACACTGAAGTGCAAAGTATTTGGGGTAGTAATAGTAGTATTTGTAGTTTGCCCACTGCACCCCATTTTATTCACTGTGCATTCACCCACCGCTCCAAACCTGGCCTCGAAGTTTTCATTTAGAATACAAAATAATTTGTAGGAAATAAGAACTAACAGATACTGTGTGCTGCAAAAATAAGCCAAAAATTCTGGAGAATCTTGTGAAGAAAAATGTAGAAATAATTGCTCCTTGCACACAAGGGTGAAGTAGTTGAAGATTTACATCCCTATATGAATAAGAAGTCACTCACTGATTAATTCTTTCATAGAAAATTTGGGGCCAGAGATAACATGGAAAAAATTGGAATACGTTCTTATACCATAAAAAAGAAGAGTGGTTCAGCGAAAGTTTTTACCCCACATTAACAACCAGGTCAGGTAATTCTTAAATTGTTGTGCACCATCAAGTCATTTCCGACTTATGACAACCTTAAGGGGTTTTCTTGATAAGATTTGTTCAGAAGGGGTTTACCTTTGCCTTCCTCTGAGGCTGAGAGAATGTGACTTGCCCAAGGTCACCCAGTGGGTTTCCATAGCTGAGCAGGGATTCGAACCCTGGTTCCTAGGAGTTGTAATCCAATGCTTAAACAACTACACCATGCCAGCTGTGTTAACAAACAAAAACATTTTGAGCCTTACCTGAAAGCATCTTCCAAAACGCATCCAGAAATGACTTTTCCTTCTGCCAGCCTCCATAGAATCATAGAATCATAGAATCATAGAATCATAGAATCATAGAGTTGGAAGAGACCACAAGGGCCATCCAGTCCAACCCCCTGCCATGCAGGAATTCCCAATCAAAGCATCCCTGACAGATGGCCATCCAGCCTCTGCTTAAAGACCTCCAAGGAAGGAGACTCCACTACTCTCCGAGGGAGTGTGTTCCACTGTCGAACCGCCCTTACTGTCAGGAAGTTCCTCCTAATGTTCAGGTGGAATCTCTTTTCTTGCAGCTTGCATCCATTGTTTCGGGTCCTAGTCTCTGGAGCAGCAGAAAACAAGCTTGTTCCCTCCTCAATATGACATCCCTTGGCCAAACATATAAATCTGCTTTAAAAGACATTGACAGTGGAGGCAGTGAGACAGACTTGTCTACTCTTCCCTTTTCTCTCTTTCGCTGCAGACACTGTGCTACAACCCAATGCTGAAAATCTTTCTCCATCCTCTCCGCCATCCTCCCAATGCTGAAGCCACTAAAAAACTTCCAGCTAGACTGGAAATATGAGGATATTTTTTAATGAAGGTGGGCTGGGGAGGCATAAAAAGACTTTGTAATTTTGTAAAAAGAAGCTTCACTTTGTAATTTTGTAAAAAGAAGCTTCACTTGTCCCTTGTCCTGGAGGGTATTTAGCTGCCAATCCAGTTGACTCCTGAACACAAGACAGAAAGAGCGGTATCTCGTATTTATTTGTCTGTTTTATCTAGAGTATTTATTCCTTGTCTTAGATAACAAAATATCTTGGGCCAGACATACGAAAGTTGCTGTCTCAGCCTTGCTTCTGCAATGTGGATGTTGATAATCCCATTATATTTGCAGAAAATGAGAATAGCGAAGAATTCAGAAGCTTTTGGAAGGGGAAAATGTCATGCCAATGACAACGGAGGTGTGTGTGTGATTTTTGTCAACTTTGTGATAGAGATAAGGCCACCTCCCCAGTCCAAATCCAGACCCTTTGCCCTCACTTAACATTTTCTAGCACAGCGGGAAGAGAAAGTTCATGCAAATCCTTGGATAAAGCAGATTCCCAACATCATGATGGTGTGAGCCTTTTTTGGTCATTCTGCGTGGCTCCGTGGAGGAACTTGGGCGTTTCACTGATGGAGAGCAGATCTGGTTTCTCCCTTCCCAGATCAGACACAAACCAGTTCCAGGCTTCAAATCTCCCTTCTTGCCCTTGCTGGGTTTATCAAGAAGAGAGAAACTATAGGAAAAAGAAGCCAAGATATCCAGAATGTAAAAGCCAACCTCAAAGATCTCTGCAGAAATCACTCCTGATATTGTTTTGGTGTTTTGTTCTGGCAGGCATCCATTAGCAGCTGAGGTTTAGCCTCTAAGGTCCATTCATCTACTTATGAATACAGATATTTTGAATAGACAAGTTGTGTGTTGTTGTTGTTGTTGTTGTTGTTGTTGTGTGTCGTCAAGTTGTTTTGACGTTTGGCAACCCTAAGGTAAATCTGTCATGGAGCTTTTTTGGCAAGATTTGTTCAGAGAGGGCTTTCCTTTTCTCAGAGGCTGAGAGAGCGTGACTTGCCCAAGGCCACCCAGTGGGCTTCCATGGCTGAACCAGGATTCGAACCCTGGTCTCCACAGTCCAGCGCTCAAACTACTACACTGGCTCTTAGGTATCTATAAAACAGAAATAAGCGCTGTAGAAATAATGCAGTTTGACACCACTTTAATTGCCATGGCTCCGTCCTACACAATCCTGGGATTTGTAGTTTGGTGAACCACCATCCCTCTTTGGCAGCGAAGACTCAAGACCTTGTGAAACTGCAAACCCCATAGGATGGAGCCACAGCAGGTAAAGTGGTGTCCAAACTGCATTATTAGCCTACAATTAAAAATAATACCAGTTTTTTAAAAAATGTACAGCAGCCTCTTTTAAAAAGCCCTTCCTTTGCAAACAAAATTAAGTTCTTAAAAAGCTGTCAAATTTTTAACTGAAAGTCTTTCCCTGCCGATAAGCAGATATTGCCAAAAGAGGGGCCATTCCAACTTCTAGAAGGAGTTATATATGAAATCACAGGATGACTTTTTTTATATGGGGTGGGCACCATGGTTTTAAAGTTTGTAATTTTATATCGTTTTCATGTGATGTTTTGATTGTTTTAGCGCAATGAGTTTTTAAAAGAGTTTGTGAGCTGCACCGGGTCCCTTTTTGGGGGGAGAAAGGCGGCATAGAAATTATATAAATCAATCAATAAATAAAATAATAAAGGGGGTTCCCAAACCTAGGGCAGCCACTTTGAGGGATTTTAGGAAATCTTCTTAAGAAGATGTAACGCCCATAAGAAACTGTGCCAAAACCAAACCCTACATCCTCCTCCATAGTCTCTTCTCCTTTTTGCACAATGGACCCAATGCATTCCCATTTTTGCACCCAGAGAAACTCCAAGAGAGACAGTGGAAGGAAAGGAAGGAAGGAAGGAAGGAAGGAAGGAAAGGAAGGAAGGAAGGAAGGAGAGAAAGACAGAGGCATTGTCCTCTGTTTTTTTTGCCCTTCCACATCTCTGGGATTGCAGGCTGTATTTCAGAAAAATGCTGTATTTCGGGGGGAAAGGAACTGGAACCCACTTCTGAGTCTTCCTAGAATTTCAGACTCCTTGAAAAGTCTTGAGATAGGCATCGATGGAC